GTATGATCCTAGTTTCAACCTGCTTGGCACTTTCAGAAATGGTCAGGCGACAGGAACAGTGGCAATCATAAGCAAAGGGCATTTTACAACTACATACTGTCCTTACAATCTTGAGGGTATAATCCATTGAGTAAATGCAGATCAATGGAGGCCCTGGACTGAGTTAGTTGAAGTCCCAGAGTTAAAGCCTACCCTTTGGCTTCCTTCTTCCTGCTGGCTTCTAGCTTGAGACAGACAGACATACCTGTGGGGAAAGTTTGAACATAGGTGCACAGACAATGAGTGGGGTGGAATGGTGTTTTGCTGCCAGTGCCAGAGTGTGAGTTCCTGTCACAGCTCTCAGGGCCCCATTGGCCAGGATGGTCTTCGTGCCAATGATCACCTTTGGAACAATAAGAAAAGTGTGAGCCATCCTGGGGTGGAGCCTTAAAAGGGCCATTGGCCACAAAAAGCTGAATGTTCAGGCCTCAGAACTGGTATCATGAGGGGTCACAGACTAGTAGAGGGGAAGGGATCCCTGGCTCAGTACAAATTCTAGCTTAAAAGTGGGTTTCTGGGCCAGGCGCGGTGGCTCAAGCCTGTAATCCCAGCACTTTGGGGGAGGCTGAGGTGGGTGGATCACGAGGTCAAGAGATCGAGACCATCCTAGTCCACATGGTGAAACCCCGTCTCTACTAAAAATACAAAAAATTAGCTGGGCATGGTGGTGCATGCCTGTAATCCCAGCTACTCAGGAGGCTGAGGCAGGAGAATTGCCTGAACCCAGGAGGCGGAGGTTGCAGTGAGCCGAGATCATGCCATTCCACTCCAGCCTGGGTAACAAGAGCAAAACTCTGTCTCAAAAAAAACAGTGGGTTTCCAAGGAAAGAGTGAATGTAAAATGGAACAAGAAACTGCAAAACCTATTGTTCTTAGTCCCATATTTTCTGGAAATTGAGATGCCACACCTTCTGAGAAGCCAGGAACCTTTTCATTCACTATCTACAGCTGCCAAGCTCTTTGAGCATAAGGCAGGAGCCCCGTAGCCAATCACTAGCAACTGATACTCTTGCCTTAGTGCTATTTAATACTTCATTCTTTTCAGTGCTTCAACCAAATGTAGAGGCTACTCCAAGAGAGGAACAATGATGCAGAAAAAGGGAAAAGAAATTCAGTTAAAAAAGGCCCAAGTATGTACTTTGAAAGGTGCTAGAAATTTTTTTCTCTCACCATGAATATTACAGGAGATAAACATCAATATTTTAGAAACATAATCTTCATGAATTCAACGTAACTCCAAATATACTCACCTTGTTGACTCTTGACATAACAGCAAAAATGGCAGCATCAGTCATGACAGTTGTCTCAATACCTGCTTTGGACAAATTGACAGCCACTTCATGACCCTGCAAGGGAAGAGAAAGGCCGATTCTAAGAGAAAGAGTGAGAAATACTGAAAATTGCTCTCAAATGTAACTGGGTCTGGGGAATTGTGTGATATGGGCATATCCAACACTTAATATCCAACAGATAACTCATTTTTTGGACTACCATAGCTCTGGTAAACTGTAGGGAAGCCCAAGGGAAGCTAATAAATGTCTGTAATACTCCACAGCAGCGCTAGAGTGGCCACAAAACTGGAAATACAAGGTGCTTGTATAATAGAATCAAGATTGCTGACAAGATAGCTCCTGGCTCATTATTTTACAACATCCTGCATCCTTAAATATTTCCTTTTTGAGACCTATTATTTACTTAGGATTGAGTGAGGTCACACCAAGCATCAGTCATCCCCAAGGTAATTTACCCTGTTTTGATTCCTAAAAGAACCAACTTATCTTTCCTTGGACTCAGCCGTTCACCTACCTATTTTTTTTTTTTTTTTTTGAGACAGAGTCTAGCTCTGTCACCTAGGCTGGAGTGCAGCAGCATGATCTTGGCTCACTGCAACCTCTGCCTTCCAGGTTCAAGCAATTCTCCTGCCTCAACCTTCCGAGTAGCTGGGATTATAGGCATGTGCCAGCACGCCTGGCTAATTTTTTTTTTTTTTTTAAACGGAGTCTCCCTCTGTCTCCAGGCTGGAGTGCACAATCTCGGCTCACTGCAACCTCCGCCTCCTGGGTTCAAGGGATTCTCCTGCCTCAGCCTCCCGAGTAGCTGGGACTACAGGTATGCACCACCACACCCAGCTAATTTTTGTATTTTTAGTAGAGTCCAGGTTTCATCATGTTGGCCAGGATGGTCTCAATTTTTTGACCTTGTGATCCACCCACCTTGGCCTCCCAAAGTGCTGGGATTACGGGTGTGAGCAACCGCGCCTGGCCTAATTTTTGTATTTTTAGTAGAGATGGGGTTTCATCATGTTGGACAGATTGGTCTCAAACTCCTGACCTCAGGTAATCTGCCGGCCTCAGCCTCTCAAAGATCTGGGATTACAGGCATGAGCCACTGTGCCCAGCCCCAACTTTCTTAAACCATTGTTTAAGAATGTTCACAGGATGAACAACTTGAAAATTCCCTTAATGTTTTACTTTATCTTCTCAATGTCTCAAAGTCTTGCTTATCAATTCAAGCTTGGAATGGCCCTACCCGTCCCTTGTTTATTTCTTCTTCGTTTTTCATTTTTCATAGCAACTCCAGCAGTCTTCTTACCTGGCAGAAAGGAGCACACTCTGCTACAATGACATGGAATTTTCTCTTTCGGGCAGCCTCTTTGAGGAAGGCCTCTACAGTTCGGGAGAAGCCAATGGTCATAATCACCTCGTTGGAGTGAATGTGCTCCAGAGCCTGGGCTGCAATGTTTTCTGTTGTCCCTTCTGTAAGAACAGTTTTGCAAGGAAAATATGAAACTTCTCTGCTATATCACAAACACATAACGAGTGTATAGAAAAAGATGTCTGCCCTTCACATGCACTGCCCATCTAGCAGACCCTGGCCCCACAGGATTAATGTGCCTAAAGTGAAAGTCACAATGTTGCCCAGGCTGCTGTTGAACTCCTGGTCTCAAGCAATCCACTCACCTTGGCCTCCCAAAGTTCTGGGATTACAGGTGTGAGCTACTGTGCCCAGCTGTCACAATTTCTTACTTTCTTTTTTTTTTTTTTTGAGACAAAGTCTCACTCTGTGGCCCAGGTTGGAGTGCAGTGGCATGATCGCAGCTCACTGTAACTTCTACCTCCCAGGTCCAAGCGATTCTCATGCTCCAGCCTCCCAAGTAGCTAGGATTACAGGCATACGTCATTCACGCCCAGCTAATTTTTGTATTTTTAGTAGAGACAGGGTTTCACCATGTTGGAAATCCTGACCTCAAGTGATCCTCCTGCCTCCGCCACCCAGAGTGCTGGGATTACAGGCAAGAGCCACTGGGCCTGGCCCACAATATCTTAGAAGCACCACTCCTGAGGGATTTTCTGCCTGCCCTCTTCCAGAAGTACCCCTACCTATCAACCACCTCTCTGTCACTACACAGCTCATTACAAGTGATTCTGAAGACAATGAATTCAGCCAAGGAATGGCAATCTGGGAAATCCTAAAGTGCTGAGAATCGGCTAAACAAAGCTTCTGCCTAAAAGAACTCTTCCTCCAAAAGGTGGCCACAACACTTCCACATGAGAGAATGGCCACAGAAGAAAAATGGGGGAGGAATTTGGAAGCAGCTTCTTCATACTCTGATTATAAAAATGAGTATCTGCCGATCACTTGGGCCGCAATGACAAGGAAGATGGAGGTAGTATATTGTAGTGTGTATAAAAATTCAGATAGTGAAGGAGGTCTATCAACCTTGATTCTCTAGGGAGTTCATTTTCTTTACAATGAACATAAAGTTCTGTCATAGTCTGCCACTTCACAGATCTGCAGTCTATCAAGAGTTGGTCTGTAAGGGAAAGTAGAGAGGGTTACTTTCGTCCTATCACCTGTTCCAACATTTCCTAATCAGGAAGGAGGACAAACTTCTGAGAACCAGAAGACTGATAATCTCCCATCTCTGCTAATGAATAACCTTCAGGGGCTTCTGTTCCCGTATTTGCCTGTGACCAGTCTCATCTTCGCAGCGGTCAGGCCTCTTACCCAGCTCCACTAGCAGCTCATTAATTGCCTCAATGATGTTGGACTGGAGTTGGGCATAATGGAAGCTGAAATCCTCGTTCAGGCCTCCGGAGGTCAACAGTTTGTGTAGGGACTCCTGCTGATCACTCTCATCGCTGCGTCCATGGAGTCTATGGAGGCAACAAGACCCAAAGAGAGAGGTGGGGAGAAGGAGTGGTCAGGCAGGTAACAAGGGCTGCTCAGCTCCAATAAAGTCTCCGAGCAGGGAGAGGGGCCCGTGCAAAGTGTCACTGGATCCTACCCGGGGCCCAGGACGCAAACCTAACCTGCCATACTCCTCCCGGATAATCTTGAGCACTCTCCGCACCATGTTGCCCACGGTGGTCTCGGAGGGCTGAGCGGCCGTCATCCTCCTGCCCTCTCTGCGGATCAGCTCCATCAGCTCCCCTACAGTCCAAAAGAGACAGGATAAGAGCAGCCAACGCGAAGTGAGGCCTCGGAAACTTTCAGCCATGGGATCGGGAACAGACAGGTGCCGGGATCGCCGGCGGAGGCAGGCCGGCCTCACCCGCGTTGCTCCAGCGGTGGTCTGTGATGATCTGGCGCAGCAGCCCCAGGGTATCCCGAGCCATTTCCTCGGAGCTGCGGGGCCCACCACCCCGCTTCAGGGTCTCCACGAAGCTCTCGATCCTCTCTGACAACTCTGAGCCCTTCACTGCGGCTCCAGGCATCTCTAAGGTAGCTGCCTTTCGCCTTCAGCGGCTGAATCCACACCTGCCAGACCACACAGTTTACACTTCCGGGGCGGGCGAGGTCGGCTTCCGCTGTGAGGGGAGGGGGAAAATCTCAAGTTTGAGAGGAGGCAGGCCACGCCTCTAGTTGCTGCTCTCCCGCCCCCTTCCTCTGTCTAAGCCAATCAGAGACGTGGGACTCGGGTCACTCAGTTCCAACCGGGCGTCCGCGCGCCTCCGGGGCTGGAGGACCGGACGCGGCCTCTCTTGGCTCAGCCGAAGGTGAGCAGAAGTAACCCGTCCGGCCTATAGAGGGTGGCTGGTCCCGTTGCTATGGAAGCAACAAGTCTCTAGGCGACCCCCGACCACGATTGAAGGCTACACTGAAGAAGTTGCGGCACTCCTTCCTGGCTTCCCAGCTCGGGGACCGCCTCGTGCCCTGACACTGACGCTCTGAATGCGTGTCCAAGGTCGGTTGCCTCTTGGGCAGACGCCTCACTTTTGTTCTGTTACATTACTTGGTACTGTTTGCGCCTGTGTCTAGTAGGTTCACCTCTCTGAAAACAAGGACCATATCTTTTGTTGCTTTGTCTTCTCAAGGCCTAACACATCTAATAGAAGACGGCAGAATTAGGTCTAAACCACTGTTTTTCAGCTAACAGGAGTCTAACAAAACCGGGAAAAAAAAGAAGACGGCAGAATTAGAGATGAGGAAGACTGCTTACATTAAGGAGATTCAAAGTGGGAGCCAATGCAGAAGCAAAGATGACATCCTCTGATATGGACAGAATTGTCTTCCTACAGAGAGGCCGGAGAGTATAACATAATACCAGGAGTTACCATTCACCTAAAGTTTACCGGATGTTGGGCACTGTGTGAATTGTCTCAGTTAATAAAGTATGAAATAGGTCCTCTTATCCCCATTTTACAGATTGGAAAACAGACCCACAGAATTTAAGCAGGTAATAAAGGGATGAGTTCATACTTAAATCCAGGACTATATGAACCCAAAGTCTGTGTGTAATAGAAATCTCTATTTCCTTAAGATAAGTTCTTCAAAGTGGAATCCTTAGGCAAGCAGATTTAAAGACTTTTGTTACAATTGACGAATTGCCCTCCAAAAAGATTAGGTCAATACCAAAGTTAGCCAAAGGCAGTACAAAGAAAAGAAAATTACAGATCAATATCTGTCATGAACATAGAGACAAAAGTTTGCAACAAATTACTAGCACATCAAATCCTGCAATACATTAAAAAAAAAAAAGAAGAATATGTAATTACAAAGTAAAACCTAAACGTGGAATGCAAAGCTGGTTAAACACTTTAAAAAACAATATAATATACCATATTAACAATCTAAGAAGTAAAACCACATGATCATGTGGATTGATGCAGGAGGAAGCATTTAACGAAACTGAATATTCATGTTAAAAACTCTCAGAAAACTAGAACAAAAAGCAACTTCTTGAACTTGATAAAGGTTATCTACGAAATCCTACACCTAAAAATATTTCATAGTAAAAGATTGCTTTCTCCCTAAGATCAGCACAGGCGAGGATGTCTACTTTCACCACTCCTATTTAACATCATATGTGAAGTCCTAACCCTTGCAATAAGGCAAGAAAAAGAAAAAGCGTAATAAATGGAAAGAAAGAAATTGTCCCTGTTCGCAGAAGACATGATAGTCTACACAGAAAATCCCAGAGTCAACAGCAACAAAAACAAAACCACCTGGAACTAATAAGTTTAGCAGGGATACAAAAATTATATTTCTGTGTACTAGCAATGAACATCAGAAATTGAAGTTGAAAATATAGTATTCTTTTTTTTTTTTTTTTTTTTTTGAGACGGAGTTTCACTCTTGTTACCCGGGCTGGAGTGCAATGGCACAATCTCGGCTCACCACAACCTCCGCCTCCTGGGTTCAGGCAATTTCCTGCCTCAGCCTCCTGAGTAGCTGGGATTACAGGCATGTGCCACCATGCCCAGCTAATTTTTTGTATTTTTAGTAGAGACGGGGTTTCACCACGTTGACCAGGATGGTCTCGATCTCTTGACCTCGTGATCCACCCGCCTTGGCCTCCCAAAGTGCTGGGATTACAGGCGTGAGCCACCGCGCCCGGCCGAAAATATAGTTTTCTAAAAAGCCATAAACTATTTCTCAATTTTTCTGTTAGTTTTTATTTATTTGTTTATTTTGAGACAGGGTCTCACTCTGTTGTCCAGGCTGGAGTGCAGTGGTATTCTCACTGCCTACTGCAGCCTCAACACACCCCAGGTTCAAGTAATCCTCTCACCTCAGCCTCTTGTGTAGTTGGGACTATAGGCACACACCACCATGCCTGGCTAATTGTGTGTTAATTTTTAAATGTCTTTAAAATTGTATCAATTTACATGCTGGTTAGCATTTATCATATTATAGCCAATTTTGAATATTGTCATTTTTTTAAATATATATCAAGTCATTAAAAAAAGTAAGGTATATAGGCCAGGCATAGTGGCTCACACCTGATCCTGGTACTTTGGGAGGCTGAAGGGCAGATCACCTGAAGGTCAAGAGTTTGAGACCAGCCTGGCCAACATGACAAAACCCTGTGTCTACTAATACAAAAATTAGCTGGGCATGGTGACACATGCCTATAGTCCCAGCTACTTGGGAGGCCGACACAGGAGAATCACCTGAACCTGGGAGGTGGAGGTTGCAGTGAGCTGAGATCACATCACTGCACTCTAGCCTAGGTGACAGAGCGAGACTTTGTCTAAAAAAAAAAAAAAACAAAAAAGGTATATATTATTTTATATATACTGAAGAATGTATATGTGTGTGTATGCAAGTTATAAAGCATGATGACAAAATGAACAGGTTAAGGAATGTGAACCAGTTCCTCACTTTGAAACTAAAATATTCAAATTAGTAGAGATAGAAAGTAGAGTTGTATTGGTTGGACACAGTAGCTCACACCTGAATCCCAGCACTTTGGGAGGCCAACGTGGGAGGATGGCTTGGGCACAAGAGTTGTGAGACGAGCCTTGACAACATGGAGACCCCATCTGTACAAAAAATTTAAAAAATAACCAGGTGTGGTGATGCATTCATGTACTCCCAAGTAGTTTGGGAGGCTGATGGGGGGGATCTCTTGAGCCTGGGAGGTGGAGGCTATAGTGAGCTATGTATGATCCTGCAGTGAGCTATGATCCTGCCACTGCACCCCAGCTTGGGCTCCAGGCAAGACCCTGTCTCAAAAAAGAAAAAGAAAAGAAAGTAGAACTGTAGTTGCCAGGGTTGAGGGGAGGGGGAGAGTTACTGTTTAATGGCTACAGAGTTTTAGTTTTGCAAGTTGAAAGAGTTCTAGAGCTAGATGGTGGATAATGGTTGTGCATTTATATTGCACAACAATGTGAATGTACTTGATGCCAGTTTTCACTAAACTGTACACTTAAAAAGAGTTAAGGCCAGGTGTGGTGGCTTACGCCTGTAATCCTAGCACTTTGGGAGGCCAAGGTGGGTGGGTCACAAGGCCAGGATTTTGAGACAGCCTGGCCAGCATGGTGAAACCAGTCTCTACTAAAAATACAAAACTTAGATGGGCATGGTGGCACATGCCTGTAGTCCCCGCTACTCAGGAGGTTGAGGCAGGAGAATCTTTTGAACCCAGGAGACAGAGGTTGCAGTGAGCCGAGATTGCGCCATTACACTCCAGCCTGGGCAACAGAGCGAGACTCCGTCCAAAAAAAAAAGGGGTAAAGATGATAAAATTTATGTTTAGTGTTATTTTACAATTAAGGAAATATGTGGTATATTTCACTTTTTTCTGCTCAATATGACATTCATAAAATTTACCCATGTTGTTACATGTACCTGTGATTCTCTTATTTGCAGTGGTGAACTTGTACTGGTGAGAACTTGTAGTTCTCATATTTGCACTAATATTTCATGTGACTATAGCATAATTTATGTATTTCTTTTTTTCAACAGACATTTGGGTTGTTTCCAATCTTTTGAGGGGGAGTGGGTGCATATAACTATAAATAGTGTGCTGTGTATGTCTTGGCACTAATATAAGTGGAATAGCTGGATCATCGGCTATATGAATGTTCAACTTTACAAATAGATCTAGTTGTATAAAGTGGTTCACTTAATTTATGCTCCCTCCATATTTAAAGAGTTTCAGCTGATCCACATCCTTACCGACATGTGATATTATCAAATATCTTCTTATTTGGGAATCAGCCAGGTATAAAAGGATATTTTATTATGGTCTTAATTTGCATTTTCCTGATTACTGTTTATTTTTTTCATGTGTTTATTGGCCATGAGTTTTTTGTGAATTGTCTGTTTGCGCCTTTTACCTACTGTTTTTGGCTTAAAAATATTTCCAAATAGGTTTGTAGGAGTTCTTTATATATTCTTGATACAATATTTTTTCAATTATTTATTGTATAAATAAGTATCTTCTCCCAACTATGGCTTGTCTTCTTTACTTTGAGATGTCTTTGAACAGAGTTCATGATTTTAATGTGTTCAAAGGTATCAGCCTTGTCTTTTATACTTAATGCCTTTTTTATCTTATTTAAGAGAAACACAGTATAAGGCAGTGTTAGAAAACTTTAAATACAGGATTAAGATCAAATCGGTAAGGCATCACAAATTGTAAAAAGGCATTTTGGCTGCATTCAGCACAGCAAACGGACAGAATCTGAGTGAGCAACAGCCTTGGGAAAGTGGTGTGTCAGGGCTGCCCACAGGGCGAGTGCAGCCTAGGAAAGGGTGGTGCTGCTCGGCCAGGGTGGCCTGCGCTTTCGAGACCTTGCTCAGGAAAGGCCCCATGTGAGGTAACTGGGTTGAGTCCGTGGGTCTCCAGTGCTGGGAGCTCCCACCACACCCTTGGCCCACAGCAACTGCCGCTCCCCAAGCTGGTCTGAGGAGCAGCTGGTCAGTCTGGCTTACAGGGTACTGCTGCTGGGGCCACCCCGTGTGCAGTCTCTTGACTAGCCTTCCCCACTGCCAGGTCCAAGGCCAGCAGCACCCAGACCAGCAGCTTCCACAAGAACTTCTTGCCCCTCGTCCTTGCCTCAAGCTACTAAAACTCGCAGGGTGTTACCCAGTAAAACACTTAGTGCTAATCCAAGCTGATTTTCTGACCGATGACTTTTATCATAAACAGAAGCTTCCACCACCCTTCTAATACTACAGCATTCTTTGGGTGTCCCTAAATGTTTTCACTGTTTGAGAAAATATTACGATGCAGCGGCAGAAACATCATCGAAGCCACTGGTGTGATTTCAGACATTCAGCCAAGCACAGTGGATTTGCCAGGTGTTGAGATTACATACCTATAATCCCAACAATTTGGGAGGCCAAGGTAGGAGGATCACTTGAAGTGAGGAGTTCTAGACCAGTCTGGGAAAAATAGCAAGACCCTATCTCTACAAGAAATTTTACAGATTAGCCAAGTGTGGTGGCATGTGCCTGTAGTGCCAGCTACTTGGGAGGCTGAGGTAAGAGATTTGCTTCAGCCTAGGAGTTTGAAGTTGCAGTGAGCTGTGATAGCACCACTGCACTCCAGCCTAAGTGACAGAGTGAGACTTCAACTCAGAAAAATAAAAATAAAATAAAAAATCCATCCAGGTGCAGTGGCTCACACCTGTAATCCTTGTACTTTGGGAGGCCAAGGCAGGAGGATCGCTTGAGCTCTGAAGCTTCATCACTGAATTTGCCTATTTCTGAATCAATATGATATTCTCTTAACTATTGTATTTTTTTTTTTTTTTAAAGGAGGCTTACTGAAGCCTCAACTTCCCAGGCTCAGGTGATTGATCCTCACACCTCAGCCTCCCAAGTAGTTGGGATTTACAGACACAAGCCTTTTGTATTTTTTGTAAAGATTCGGTTTTACCATGTTGCTCAGGCTGGTCTTGAACTTCTGGGCTCAAGTTATCCACCTGTCTTGGCCTCCCATGG